AATTAAAAAAGATAGGACCTAAGACAGTGTCTTGAGGCATGCGATATGCTATTTATTTCCTTACTTGAGATATTATTAATTTTATTTGTGTTCGTTTTTGTAAATAACTTTGTAATAAATTATATAGGGTGCATCCCATTCATTCAATAAACTTCTATTATACAAAAAAACGGCACATGATATAGTAAGTAAAGAATTTAACCGGACCAATTTTATTGTTGGAACAGCTTAAAAAGTGTTTTAGGATTATACTTTAAATTAAATTGATCCCAGAACCTTTTAGGTAGATTTTCTACAATTATACAACATAACTCTTATAATTTATTTAATCTAGTAATAGTATACCATAGGGCTCTTTTAAAACTACATTGTTTTAATAAGGACTAAAGTTTGTTGTAGAGCATCTTTTCAACCCAATCAAAATATATTGACGTTGAACGATAAATTGTTCAAAATAAAGAAAAGTGGTAATTTCCATAGAGAATGAAAACAAAATGTATATGTTTCTCCTTCTCCTCAGTGTTTAATAAGTTCATTGTGTTCTATTGTTTAACAAATATCATAACATTCCCAGGCTCCTAATATTCTGGAAATGATCAGTAAAAGAGAAAAATGGTTAATATATTATTACTAATTTTTATATTTTGAATGACTTGTTCGTAGAGTAAATAAGAAGCTCAAGAGTGAGGTTAAGTTATGCCCATCTGATTGAACTTATGATTATTTTATTGAGATTTTTGTTTTTACTAGGTATTGTTTTATGAAACACTTTAAAAAGTGTAGCAGGAGCTTTTAAAAACTGGAAAGTCCTAAAAAAAATAGTTTTTTTGCTTTATTAGTTTTTAAGTACACAATGAGGAAATTCTTCATTTTAAAGATGGCAGTGGATGTTTAACCACATATCATGCAAAATAGTACCTGTCTACCAGTCCTGTACCTAAAGGATATTCAAATAAATGATGGTCAAAGTGCAAATAATTCTAAAATCTTTCGATTTTAGTAATGACGTATTTTGTATACCAAAGACAGTGATAGTGTGTCAATGACAACAGTATGTCAATGACAATAGTGTGCCAATGACAACATTGTGCCAATGACAGTAGATTTATTATTTATGAATGCGTTTACTGCGATTAACCATATAATGTCAAATTTGTTAAATATATCTACAGCTAATTTCTTTTAGGGTATATAAATGTAATTTGTATTGGAATATACTAATATAATGTTATACAACTCTTGCCTCGCCTAAAGTAATTTATCATTGAATATAAAGTTTGTTTCTGACAGTCCAGTAGGTAGTATGCGAAATTGGAAATGGTTTTCTGCCGATGACAAGTACCCATGCAAAGACAACTCTACAATAGGATTTATATTGGCGGTTAAATAGTCACTTCCATGAAATAATTTGTCCACTTTTAACAGTACTTTGGTGTGTGTTTGAAAATTAAAAAAATAACAAGTGTAACTAAACAAATTAAACAAACACAATATAATAATTAATTTCTAATATGGCAGTCTTCCCAACATGTTTGCAAAATCATTCTGTCAGAGAGTACCTATGATAAAACAGAATAAAGCTAAAACAGTTTAAAATTTAATTCTCTTAAAACTGATTAGTTTTGTAAAGTTTTTATGCCTATCCCACTTATTATCATAATCTTAAAAATATTTAAAAATGGTTTAATAAAATTCTTAATATACTCTTACGGACTTTGTCTTAAGTCTAATTAGTCTTAAGAAATTGTTTTAAAAATACTCCTAAGAACCGTTATAGGATTCTCCCTTTTACTTTTAAACCAGATTTATAGCAGCCCTAAGGCTATCTCGCGGATTCAAAATTTTATTAGTGTCTTAAAAAGGGATTTATGGTTACATTGTATACTTTGATAAATCTAAAAATGTTACTTGGGTGCCACCTCCGTCAGATCGATTCTTCGAGCATATATATTTCATAGATCCGCATTCAACAGAGTTTGTTTGGGTTATGAGGGGAAACAGGTAGACACTATTTTCAGTGTCGCATCATTTTTATGGGGTTTGCAATTAATATAAATAATAAATTTGATATATACCTTTAAAATTCTTTAAATTATTCACATATTTTATAAACTTGCATTATTTAAGTAGGAATCTAGTAATAGTAAATTATTAACATTATTTTTATTATTTATTATTATTATTATTATTATTATTATTATTATTATTATTATTATTATTATTATTATTATTATTATTATTATTATTATTATTATTATTATTATTATTATTATTATTATTATTATTATTATTATTATTATTATTATTATTATTATTTGTGTTGGACACATCAGATTTTTTTAATTCAAACATCAGAAAGTGTAATACGGAAAAATGAAGGGTGAAATAATGGGCAATAAAAAATATAAAGAGCTTCTATTTAAAAATCAAAAATACAAATATATATATAAGGTATATTTTAAAAATATTTATGATATCTATTAACACACATATACGAGAATTACAATAAAAGAATTTGTTCCAATAGTTTATTAAATAATAAAAAATAATGATTGCCAATTTTTGTTGTTTATAAAAAATATAGTTAGTAATAGGTAAGTATTTAAAAATAAAATTTATGTTGTTTTAAAAAGTACTTAGTTACTTATATGCTTTCTAATTCTGCATTTTCTTTTTCTGCAACAGAGGCTTCATGATTCAGATCATCACTGAAAAATTAAAAAAAATTGAACGATTAACCCACAAGTGTAGGGTTCTTTACCTTTTAGTTTCATCTTCTTCTGGGGTCTCAGTAAGTCCTGATGGCAATGCTCCTGGAATTAATCTAGTTCTTCCTCCACATCCAGTCTTTGACATAAACATATGTCCAGAAAATTATTGGAACATAAAACATCACTATTTGAAATGTTTTCTGGAGTAAGTTTCAATATGTTTCATCAAATGCGTTTTTCGGCAGGATTAGTTAGAAACCTATAAAAAAATTATTGATTTAACATCTTCAATATTATCATGATAAAATGAGTTAAAAACGAAAAGCTTGTTAATATTAAAGTTCAAAATCTAAAACACTATTCCTCATACATAATATAAGTTCTTTAAATTTAATTCACTAAATTTACCATTTATTTTAAATTCATGTTTAACGGCCTTTTGCATAAAATGTGAGTACTTATGTTTCTTTTAAAAAAATGGTAGAGACGCTAATGGTTACTTACTTGTGGCATGACCTTGACGATTCCTTTTCCTATTTCTATTTAAAACTTACACAAACTCTGACTTATCTCTCACCATTGTTAAAATGTGTATCACTAAAGTAATAAAATACAAAAAATCACTTATAAACTACAAAGGTAAGCTAGACATTAATGAAAGTCAAAAATCAAATGACAGTTCTGACAATTTCGAACGATTTAAAATTCCAAGCAAAACGAAACAGACCAATGGGAATGCTGGACACTATTTTTCCCCCCTGTACCAAAACAAAGTCCATTTGGACGATGACTCTAGTAATATATGCTCGACGGATCGATTAGATTAACGCGGACATGGCATGCTCCTTCCTGACTATATATGTCACATACTTTGATTACTATACGGTAAAAGAGAGAGGTCCGACACGCCCAACATAGGGCGCTGCCATTTTGATGTCTTTAAAAAGTTTATAGCTAAATAATCAGTTCGCTCACTTTGCCTCGGCACTTTTTATCTCAATGTTCCAGTTTATACACTACGCAACTCGGTTAATCCAATGAATGACAACCGCCTATATTAAAATAGCAGTCTTCTGCTCATCCTGAATTTGTATCCCAGGAGTGGATGTAATTTTGAAATATTCAACTGGTCCGAGTGAGCTAACTGACTCTATAGCAATAAACTGTGCAAAGGCTAGTGCCTATATAGTAGTAAAGACTACTAGGTTAGGCAACACATATATTTCCTAAATGTTACACTGGTAGTCTATACATCCTGGTATTTAGACAATGAAAAAAAAACAACAAAGCACTAAAAATTAACATACAATCACCAATTAATTAAAAATAATCGTGTAAATCACGTCTAAAACACAAAATGATATATACATCCTCAAAACTTGTTCACTGACACTGACAGCAGCAAGCAAAATATTAAAAATATTGCGCCAAGATGCAGGCAACACGTAATAAGGCATTAAAATGGCGGAGTTTTCTATCTCCTTTAAAGCTGCGTAGAGCGACCATTCTCCGTATGGTAAGAGAAAATCAAAGTATGTGATATATGTTTTAAGGGGAACATGACACAACCAAACAAAGCTTGGCAGTTACTTATCTAACTGCTTAGAACCAAAATAATGGCGACCAATCGAGAATAGGCAAAAAAAGTGCTTATTTAAGGTTTCATTAGCTCGAGTTTGACACATGACGTAAAAGTGTAATGAAAAGTAGCGGACACTGTTCTAACAACGATCAGAAACCAGTCACTGACACCAGAATTTTGCGCAGTAAATTATTAGGACCGCCAAATTATCTACTGCTCATGCTAAGTTCTGAATGTGGGCTCCTTTTATTCTTTTCACTCCATAACTAACTTCAGTTTATAGTAAATCATTGTAACTCAGTGATGTGAAATTATATACGGAGTGAAAAGAGTAAAAGGAGTACACATCCCGAACTTAGCATCAGAATCCTGGTGTAAGTTTCTGATCGTTGTTGGAACAGACCTTAAGTATCTTTATATCTCTCCTCTTCATTCTTTCTTAATGTTACTTACACATGTTATAAAATTTGCCTCCAGAGGAAGTATCGCTTGTCAGGTTGAAAGAAGGTTAGTACTTTATTTTTTTTATTTCAGGATAATGGCGAAATAAATCTACGATTACACGGATAGACTGAATTTTGTAGGCAAATGGTTCGATTACAAAGGTTCGTTTCTAAAAAAAAATTGTTATTAAATAATATCCATCTGACAAAACTTTAGAACTGTTCGATAAAGTGTAAGAAGAGTATCTTTAAAACGCACGAAATTGGAGGAATTAACTATGGAAGACATGTTCGTCGGTAACACAATTAAAGTATACGGCAGACAAATAAAAATCACCGATTATTTAGATTGTCGTACCCAAAACTATGTTGGAAAATTCAGAGAGAAAACGTGTGCTATATTAAAACCTAATATAGTAGATAAAATGGTCGAAATTATTAGTATTATTGAACACCACAATATAATGATATCAAAACTAAGAAGGTGCGAACTGACCAGAAAGCAAGCATTAGATTTGCATGCAAATATGAAAGGTAATCCAGTCCTTCCAGCTATATTGGAATTTATAGTAACTTGACCAATTATAGTATTAGAATTGGTAGGTGAAAACGTTGTACAAAAATGGATGGATTTAATGGGTCCAGCACATCCTCTAGAAACAAAGAAAGTTGCACCCAACAGCTTAAAAGCTATATGCGGTAAAGACAGCGAAGCTACTAACGGTTTTCACGATTCACTGACTGTTGAAGATGCTTTTACTGAATTGGAATTCATTTTTTCAAATAGAGACAACACTCCGGAATCATTAGCGCAGTTTGAAAATACTACGTGTTGTTTAATTAAACCTCACGCTATTCAAGAAGGAAAACTAGAAGGTATAATCACCACAATAACTAACTCCCCCTTTAAAATTACAGGTGCACATATCGTGTATTTATCCAGTGCCAATGCTGACGAATTTTTAGAAGTTTATAAAGGTGTTGTGAGCGACTACAACGCTTTCATGTTAAGTTATCTTAATGGACCTTGCGTGGTGTCAGAAATAGCGGGAAAAATTAGAAATTTTACCGGACCTATGGACACTGACATTGCTTAGCAGATTCGGCCTAATACTTTAAGAGCTATGTTTGGTGTTGATAAATATAAGAATGCCGTGCATTGCACTGATTTACCTGAAGATACTGTTCTCGAATTAGAAATCTTTTTAGAGTACTTGAAGATTTTTAGAGTACTTAAAGATTTTTAATAATGTATTTTTGTATTTATACTTTACAGAGAATATTAAAAAAATGCCCATTTTTTGGGGCGTACTTATTTAAAATTGTACCTAAGACTAATACGAAAAAAACTGTAAACTATTGTTTGTATTAATAAAATTTTATTTCAAAAAGAACAACAATATTATTTTTAATGCATTTTAATTTTCGTGTTTTGCAAATACTTGAATGTTATATTCGTAACCATGACTTTTTTTGGATTCTATTTTCAAGGTAACATAATTGTTATCGACTCCTCCATCTGTAATTTGAACGGTGGATCCTTCAGATTGAGCTTGCGTACTATGGGCCAAAACGCAGTAAATCTTCTTATTACCTGCCCAGTGAGACTGAAATAAATAATTTTAAATGATTAAACACTTTAAAAATGTTTTAAAATAATATGTAACGGTTAGGGGCGGTTTCTCCATTGGTTCATTTGTGCAGTGAACACCCAGTTCAATTTCATAAAGACACAATATTTTAAAATTACATAAATAACATAAAAATATAAGTTGACTTTTAATATTTTTATTTTCATACGTGATAATCTATATTTTTTGGTACATCATTGCTTTCTGGCTGATCGCGCCTCTGTGGTACAATATACCTAAGTATAACTTGTCTGTGGCGCATTATGATGAGTAAGCCTAACACGAGTGAGACGATTTGACGAATCCATATAGCTAAAAAGAGAAGACAACACGCCAACAGATCCTTAAAACTGTCAAAGAACAGATTAGTTGGCGCGCCGCTCACAAACAAGGTTGCCAAACCAGTGTTTCCAATCTAGTACAATTTACAATTGTTGCAAATAGAATTCGAAAAATCTGGTACATTTAAGGAATCTGGTACATTTTTTAGACAAATCTGGTACATAACAAAAACATATTCTGGCAACTCTGTACCAAATCAATCAAACTGTCAATGTCAATACTGTCATTCTATCGATCTTATTTGCGATTATTTAAAAAATTATATTTAATTGAGAACTGCAACTTTAATAAATTGAAAGGATGTGTGTCAATGTAATTATTGTTCCCGAAAAACTTTTAAGGCAAGGTAATTAAATTAAATATTTTAACGTTATGTTTTGTTTATTTACTTTATAATAAAGTTTTACGACTATAGATTGTTTTATATTTGGTTTCAGTATTTAAGATCATCCAAAAACAACTCCAAAATGGTCTATTTTGTACACAATTGTAAATACTATGAAGTAAGAAGTAAACAAAAAACTTGTAAATTTTTTTTCCCACAAACCCCGCTAAAAGGAAAAATTTAATTATTCTGATGAGATAACTATTTACATCATTATGGAAATGAAAAAGTACAATACAAATTTGATTAAGATAAAGAGACAAATGGTTTTTTATTTTAAAAGTCTGAATCGGAAAAATGGATCAACCAATTAATTAAATATACTCGATGAGAAATTTTACCTAAGAAATGGTATGTTCATATAAATAGTTTACCTATATAAAGTTATGTTTGCAATTATCAATCGTGTTACCCTCTAACGAAGGTCGTTTGTTGCATACAAACAAGAAATATTTTATTTTAATGACATTTTTTTATTGCCTTGTTTGTATAATTTAGTATTTTCAAAAATATTAAATGTTATGGTAATTTGAATCACTACAGGTACTAAATAAAAATAAGGCTATTGGTAAATTAGTTTACAGTTGGTAATAAAGAATGTCTCGAAAAAAGTCTCGAAATAAGTATCAAACATAAATTGTGATTTTGATTAGGCATTTAACAAGTTACATCCCACATATCTACATGCTCTGGCTAATCAATCCTATATGTACATATCAAAACATTAATATACTATCTATAATTAAACAATAACTTGAAAATACAGATGAAGCCGATTTACCTATTTAAACAAAATTACTATTATTCTATTATTTATTAAAACACATTATTTTTTAGTAAACTTGGGCATGCAAAAGCAGCCATGAGGGTAGGACATTAGTGAAAGCAAGAATACTTTGGAATGTGCTGTGACATACACTTAGAAACTGTCATATGGAGAATTAAGTGTGATAACATTTTACGAAATGCATCTCACTAGTTTAGTTCACAGATTTGTGTGTTCTGTGTTTAATTATGTGCTGCTATTTCAAACTTCTAGTATCCTTTGATAAAAGAAGTTTAATATTATTGTTGACCTTTTTAAATTGTTTATTTTACCTCATACATTTTTTTTTCTACTCTTCATGAAGAGTATTATAGGTTTATTTTGTCTGTCTGTCTGTCCGATGTCACGTTTTTTGTCTGCACGATAAGTCAAAAACGAGAAATTAAATCCACTTGAAAATTTTAAGCAAAAATCAAGCTCTATAAGAGGACAAAGCTTATTGATTTTTAACAAATCTGATTAAAAATAGGGAATTAAGATGGGTTGAAATTAAAAAAAAATCTTAAATAAAAACGAAAAGCAATATCAACATGAAATTTTTAGTAAAAATTAAGCTTTATAAGAAGATAAAGCCTATTGATAATAAAAAAAAATTGACTCTTGTACAAGGTTTTGATCCGAACTTACAAATGATAAAATTATTGGAAAAAGTGAACACCCATTTCAAATTTCAACAAGCCGCCACTGGTGACAGTGATGTTTTAGTCGCGCTTTAAAAATTAAGTGTAGGTATAGAATTTCTAAGATCGACAACAACCAAGAGGTCGCGACGGACAACAAAAATCTACTCAACGTGCAGACGCCCAGTAAAACGTTGCGACCAATCAGATAGATATAGTACAAACAAGAGATATTATGTGACTTTAAAGCCAGCCGGAAACATACAAAGAAAAGTAAATTAGTAGAGGAGCATTCAAGAGATTGAGTATACTTATTTTATTTTTATTTCCCTCCATAAAAGGGAAGTATTGTAATAGGGAAAATTTAGATTTTCACGTTTTCGTGCCCGTAGATTATTAAAAACATGTTTTCCCATTCCGTCGGTCTGTCTGCCGTCCGCCATCTGTTGTCTAACGTCTGTCTGTTGGCGCAATAGTTCAAAAACGTCTTAAGAGAAAAACTAACTGTTACTTTCTGTTGTTTCTTTTATCTAAGGTACGGGCAATACAGGGTGTCCCAATAAAAAGTAGCCCGTTTCCATTTGATAAAATTTGGTTACGGTGAATTTAAAAGAAGAGATTT